TGAGGAAAACTGGGCACAAATCACCTATTATACTCTGCCAGCCAAAGGAATGCCCAAACTTGTTTGTTTTATTCTCAGAATGGGTGTGTTGGCTAGGGCTTCCACTTTGTCGACCAAGGGTTGAACTTTACTGTTTCCTGCTAAATCAGTGGTTCTCAAACTTTTGTACTGGTGACCCCTTTCACATAGCAAGCCTCTGAGTGTGACCGCCCACCCCCTTATAATTTTTTTTATATATTTAACACCATTATAAATGCTGGAGGCAAAGTGGAGTTTGGGGTGCAGGCTGACAGCTCGTTACCCCCCATGTAATAACCTCGCGATCCCCTGAGGGGGTCCCAACCCCCAGTTTGAGAGCTCTAAGTAGGTGGGGTCTCCTGCTTCCCTTAAGTGTATTTCTTTGGGTTTACAGTTAAATTGGCATCCCGTAGAGCAGGGGTTGGCAACCTTCGGCATGCAGCCCGTCGGGATAATCCGCTGGCAGGCCACGAGACACTTTGTTTACGTTGACCTTCCACAGATATGGCCCCCTGCAGCTCTCAGTGGCCACGGTTCACTGTTCCCGGCCAATGGGGGGCTGCGGGAAGCGGCAGCCAGCACATCCCTGCAGCCCATGTTGCTTCCCGCAGCTCCCATTGGCCGGGAACGGTGAACCGCGGCCACTGGGAGCTGCGGGGGGCTGTGCCTGCGGACAATCAACATAAACAAAATGTCTCTTGGCCCGCCAGCAGATTACCCTGATGGGCCATGTGCTGAAGGTTGCCGACCCCTGCTGTAGGGTCTGAAGGATGGCAGCTAAGTCTCTGAGGTGAGTTGGCCAGTTCCAACTATAGACTGCCACATCATCCAGGTAAGCTGCTGCATAGGGCTAATGTGGCCATAACACCTTGTCCATTAGTGTTTGAAAGTGGCCAGGGCACTGTGTAACCTGAAGGCAGTATTAATGAACTGAAACAGGCCCACACCGGTCAAGAAGGCAGACGTGGCATGGAAACTGGGGGAGAGCAGGATCTGTCAAAAACCATTAGTGAAATCTAATGTAGAAATGTATCAGGCTTTGCTGAGCCCATTGAGCACATCACAAATTCGGGGAATAAGGTATACAGTACATTGAAGTCAGGGATCATGTTTATCTGGTGGAAGTCTATGCAGAATCGAACGGTCCCATCTGCTTTAGGGACAAGGATCACATTGGATTACACCAGGGACTTTGATGTTTCAATTATGCCTAGCTTTAACATCTCCTGGACCTCCTGTATTAAATGGGATTTTAACCCTTTCAGGACAGGTACATTTAGCAAGCCTGCTTCAGGCTTCAACTGGGTTTTATCTGAATGGAGTGGTTGACTAGCAAGGTTTGTCTTGGCAATGGATAAAGTACGTCCTAGTATGCCCACACCAGGTCTCTAATTGACCTCTCTGGTCAGTGGACAACCCATTACCAAGTTGGATCCCTTTGACCCCTACTGCAAATAGTTCTGGGAGCTGGGGTCCTAACTCCTCATCTCTTTCTGGATGGATGAAGAGATATTCTGCACCCTCCAAGGTCACAGCAGGGTAGATCTCCTGTGGCCTTTGTCAGTCTGGGTAGTAAACCTTGTAATCAGCTGGCCCAACACATAGAGTACCTCACAGGGGCCCTGAAATTTGGCTAGGAGTTTGCTCTCTGAGCTGGGGAGAAATAGGATAACTTGGTTGCCAGGCTGGAATACCCTCATCCTAGCTTCCTTATTATACTGCCAGACCTGGCTCTATTGGGCCTGAAATAGGTTGGCCCTGGAAAAATGACCAAGGCACTCCAGCCTCTCTTTCATTTGTAGGACATAGTGGAGGACATAAGTGGGTTGGCTGGGTTTCCTGTGACTCCTCGACCAGATCTAAGGTACCCCGGGGTTGTCTTCCATTGAGAATTTCAAAAGAGGAAAAGCCAGTAGATGCCTGTGGAACTTCTGTGTGCCACAAATAAAAGGTACAGCAGCAATTGATCCCAATCTCTGGTTTCTGTCCCAATGAACTTTCTTAGCATCAACTTAAGAGTCTGATTAAACCATTCAAGTAGGCCATTGGTCTGAGGATGGTAGGACCAAGATCCAGCGTCAAACCTTTAAGGGAAACAAGACCCCTTGATAATTTCTGAAGGAAGGCCTACCCTGGAAAAGATCTGCAGTAGCTCCTGCACAAGGGTGGAAGTGATAGTGTTCTGCAAGAGAGCAGCTTCTGGTTACTTTGTGCCATACCTGATGAGTATGAAATAAATGTGACCCCAGGCACTTTTCTCAAGGGGGCCTACGATGTCAATCCCTACCTTATATTGTTACAAGAAGGAGGAATATTAAGGGTGCCTGGCCTCGTTCCTTATGGGCTACCTTCTGTCAATCCGGGCAGGACAATAAAAATCCACTACTTCCTAAAATATACTCAGCCAAAAGAATTGGGCCAGTAGTTTTCCAAATGTCTTTGCCTTATCCAGATGTCCAGTCATCAGGACAGAGCGTGCTAGTCTCAACAGTTCTTGATGAGCTGGTTTGAGAACCAGGAGTTGGACCTGTGAGGTTGTTTCTTCACCCAGTCCAGAATTTCATTCTGTAACTTGAAATGGGGAAACTGTTGGATAATAGTGTTCTTAGGTGGCTTCCCCATTGATCACAGCTACCTTGTTGAAACATTCTTGGAGGGTCTGAACTTTATCCTGAGCAGTGAAGAAGTCAAAGGTGTCATCTAGTCTAAGGGTCTCTGACTCGCTTTGGGGTGGAGTGTGATGGGGGTCTACTGGGAGGTCTGTTCCAGGGGGTCCTCTTCTCGGGATAGACTCTCTCCAGGCCCCAAGGGTACAGGCCCAAGTCTTACTGGACCCTTGAGAGTTGCCTGGGGTAAGGGGCATTGAGTTTCTATTCAGGAGCATGGGGAGGTGGATGCTAATTGTGACCCAGGATTACAGGCCAAGGATGGTGCTCCACTACATCTACCTGGAGACACCCTATGTAGTCAGCTACTTGTAAGATAATAGGGACAGTTGGATAAGTGCCTCTTTCCCATGTACATAGAAGATTTGGACAGTTCGGTTGGATTAGAAGGCTTTGGGCAGGAACAAATCTTGGTGCAGGAGCATTTGCCCAAAGCCAGAGTCCATCAGCCCATCTATGAGGTGTGGTCTAACTTGATGGGAACCAAGAAGGGTCTTTTGGCATCCCTCTTTGTCAGGTATGAGGTCTTGCCCTGTTGGCCAAAGTGACACCCTAAATAATCACACTCCAGGAAGGGGCACTCTCACTGCATGTGTCTTAACTGCTCACACTGATAACATATGATCACACCCTCTTGAAAGGTAGATGAAGTCCACTCTGGCACCTGGAGCGCCACCCACTTGAGATCCCCAGGAAGGTAGGGGCTCTGTCCATCAAGGGGGCCAAGTAGTGTGGGCACCTCCATGTTTCAGGGGTGCTGAAACCTAGTGCATCTCCAATTACTCTTGAGTTACCGTGGGGAAGCAGGAAGGGGTGGTGCTCCCAAGGCCTGGGGCCTCTGCCTCCAAAAAGCTTTCTGTCATCTCCACGGCCTCTGCAATGGTTGCTGGGTCGAACCAATGGACCCAGACTTTTACTGCTACTGGGAGAATTTGTAAGTACTGTTCCAAAACAATGCTATATATGACGTTGCCCATGGTCTTGGTTTCTGGTGTCAGCCAGCCAAATCTCAGAGCTGTTGGGCGATGGCCCATGGGCTGCCTCCTTTTGGAAAGGTTTCCTCTTGAAACTTCCTATGATAGACCACTGGTGAGAGTCCAAACCAATCCAATATGGCAGGCTTCAGGGTAGAGTAGGACTTGGCTTTATCTGCACATAGGGCCCTGTAAGCAGTCTGGGCGCACCTGGTTAGATAAGGGGCAATCTGGGCGGCCCAGGAGCTCCTCTCATAGCCAGTGGTGGCCACCCACTCAAATGTTATCAGGAAGATTTTGAGGTGGAGTTAGTCAGTTTGGTTAGGGTGGGCCCTGGGAGAGACTCAGCAAAGAGCACCCTCATGGGAGTGCTCAGTGAACCTTGCATGAACCGCCTGGCCATCTTGGCTTGGAACTGTCAATTGTATTCCTGTTTGGCCAGCTGGGCCTTCTCCATGCACTGATGGTGGATGGGGGGGTTGTAAAGCCTCCTAGAACTGATGATTTCACTCCTCCTCTATCTCTTGCTGCTATATTATTAATTGCAATATTTCCTTTCTGGCTTCTCTTGGGAGAGGGGAGATCAAGTCCCTATTCAGACACTAAATGTAGGAGGGTGAAGGAGGGATGGACTGTCTCTTTCCCCTACCATCTTTCCTCCCACAAGGATCTGGGGAGGTGGTTTCCTTTCATAAGAGTGCAAGAAACATTAATTAAAGATTGTTTCATCAACACATGGCTCATTTGGGCTCCTTTCTGGAGGGAGGGGTGCCAAATAAACTTAAAAGGGAAATTCCCCAATCACTCACAGAGTCCCAAAATTCTGTCTCAGGGCGTGGCTCTTACCTCAGAGCCTGGGTGAGGGGGAAAAAAGTGGTTCCTTCACAAAGTCTCTCTTATCAGTTCTTATGAGGCAACTCACTCCAGGTCTAGTTTGTAGCTGCTCTGCCCAAAGCTGACTCCCCAGCAGCCTCTCAGAGTCAGTCTTCCTCCTCTTCCCCATAAGGGCTACTTAGCTCCTTTATAAAGAATCAGCTACCAGGTGTCTCCTGTTGGCTCATTTAGCTAGCCTGCTCCAGGCTTTAATCTTCTGCAGGGCAGCTTCCTCGCCCCCTCTTGCTCCTTTGCTCTCTCCCAATCTGTGTTGCAACTTTAACCCAAACAATGTAAAAACTAGGACGAGCTTTTTTCAACCATAGGAAATGTAGGTGAAGAGGAATGGGCTTCAAGATATCACTGTCAAATTAGGTTTTCATCCTCATGGTTCATGAGGTCCACCTTTCAGTAAGCACAGTCCCACTGACTGTATTGTGTGGCTCACAGTTTGAACACAGTTAGTTACCTTTTCTGTTCCTTCTTCCTTGAGACTAATAATGTCCAAATCAAAATCCTTTCTTAAGCCGTCTGTTTTGTTGAAGGTAATGCGCCCTGTCAAACCATCCCACCGTGCCTAGGGACAAATGAAAAAACACACTTCCATTTAATGTTTAGCAACAATTATTCTAAAGCCATCAAAAATGTTACACTTATTAGCGCACCAGATGGCTGTTCCCTTGCTGGGCCCATAAAAAGGGGTGGGGCCAATCCTGTCCCCCACTACACCCTGCCAAGCAGACTGAATGATGTGGAGAAAATCACCAGGGGAGTTTTCCTACCCCTGAGCACTCCCCGTCCCCCTCCCCCATGTGTTTTACTGTGGCACATTGTGATTTGGACGTCAGCTGTGATCGTTTGTAAAATGTTGCTGAAGCCTCATTCCCTTCCTCACCAGAATTGGTGGGGTTCATTAGAACCAACTAACTAACCATCCAAAGTTGCCAGAGAATCCAAAAACAGTCTGATTTTGGTTTTCCTCTTTAAAAGTGACACTCAGGTCACCCCTGCCAAATCCACTACAGGAGCCCGATGCACAGAATCTCAAATTTCACCTAGCGCTCATAACTTGTGAAGGGCTTTCATCACTCACTGTTTGGACTGTTGAACAGATTGTGGTTAAATCTTGTCTAGAGCCAAGGGATTTGGGTCTTAATGCCCTTAGACTCCTCTGAAAATCTCAACCTAAATAACTTTGTTCAGAACATTTTCTGGAGGACTACATTCATAAGTAATATACATGCAGCTGCAGTGGTCACCGAGGAAGGTTTTTTTTTTGAAAAAACATGAGACATATCTTATTTATAATTAAAATAATGCTCTTCAAATCATGACCCCAATTCTGCTTCCATAGATGTCCATGGCACAATTCCCATTGACTTCAATGGAAGCCAGAAGCAGGCTTTCACCGAGGCTGGCAAAAAGCCCCGTGGTTTACTTAAGTTACACTCAAGTCTTTAATTCAAGATTTAAATGGGGGCATAGGTGGCGCATCAGAGTTTACAGAGACTCTCTGGATCAAGGTGCATTTTAACATAATTAAATAAAAATGCATCTTCACAATTTCCTTTAAACTTTAATATCAGGGAAGAAAGTAAACAGGGACATTTGTTGTACACCGCTACCTCGATATAACGCGACCCGATATACACGAATTCTGATATAACGTGGTAAACCAGTGCTCTGGGGGTGGGGGGGGGCGGCGCACTCCGGTGGATCAAAGCAAGTTCAATATAACGCAGTTTCACCTATAACGCGGTCAGATTTTTTGGCTCCCGAGGACAGCGTTATATCGAGATAGAGGTGTATATCACAGTATATTCAGGTAGGATTATTGTATATAACAGTATACAGTAGATACGACCAAGGATAATTCTGAATTGTGGTTGTCAATTCTCTGTTCTAAAACAACCTCTAATGAAGCATAAGATTGCTACATCTGTGTTCTTTCCCAATATAAACCAAAGATTTGCACCTTTTAAAATTAGACCCATATGCTATATAGCCTGCGGATTTTGGTCCCACCACTGAATCTTATCAACTAGAGAGAAGGATTTGATGGATTTTAAACTGAAAACAATTGTTTTAATCTATTTTTAGAGACCCCCACATTAGATTAATTTCTTCAAAAGTACAAGGAAGATATAAATAATGACATAGCTTCCACATACGTGCCAGCCTTATAATTCTTAAATTACAGGCTTTTCTGCTATGCTTTTCTTTTTTTCTTCATTTGATTGATCTTAGGTAGCTTTTAAAAAAAGATGCATAATAAAATCAACAAATATAAATTACAGAGTAGTGTAACCACTTCTTGTTTAATCTGTACATAGTTCTGAATCTTCAGGGATTAATCTCAGACACGGGTTTGCCATTACCATGTATCTCAAGCAAATCTGCTATGGTTAGAGCTTGTCTCTAAATGTTATGGAAGTAGGGTGGGATTTTCGAAAGTGACTAAGGAATTTAGGAGCACAAGCTGCCCATTCAGCGGGGCTTGTGTTCCTAAATCACGCAGGAGTGTATGAAAATCCCACCCATAAACAATTAAACATTTTTTTTGAATATGCAGCTCATATTTTGATTCGGTGATGTAAGATACTAAAATGTGCATCTGAGAAGGATCATGTTGACGCATTTTGTTTTATGAGACCAGTTCAATTTCTTCTTCTGACATGATCACCATCACTTAGTTGTAATGATGGATCTTGTCTAAATGATCATATTTTTTAGACAGTGATTTGCCACTAACAATTCACTTTCGTCATCACTGTATCACATACCTCACTCCTCCATTAAACGTATTATGGTCTTGAATAAAAGAACTACCAGTAAAATTTTCAAAAGTGACTTAGCAGCCTAAATCTCATTGAAAAAATCAATGTGACTTGATTACTTGAAAACTAAGTATCTGAGTTACTTTTGAAAGGAGGATTTAGGATCCTAAATCATTTAGGTGCTTTTGAATGTACATAATTCCATTTCTGTCTGCAAAGATACTGTAAGAATAAAAATGGGGTATTTCCAGACAGTCATATCATAACCTTTTTTATGCCATGAATGCCCTATGAAATTATAGAAAGCCTTCCTCAAAAACTGATGGCAGGATATGGGCCAAAGACTACCCACTTAGGTTCAAATCCTGGTCCTTTTGAAGTCAAATCTCACACTGGCTTCAAAATATGCTCAGGGAAGCCCTATGGCCTATGCTATACAGGAGGTTGTTTTTAGAAATGGTCAGACTAGATAATCACAGTGGTCCCTTCTGGCCCTATAAACGATGAATAAGACCAGAATTTGGCCCCTAAAATGAAATATGCCAGTTCCAAGAAAGAATAGTCCATATTCACTTCTAGGGAAATGATCAGGTAACTCCAGGATGTTGGAGCATATTAGGTATCACGTGGTCAGGCAAATGACGGAAAATCAGTTACACAGTTCTCAAATGTAATTAACTAACAGAAATGAAGCAGAAATTTCAGTACAGTGAGAATTCACATAACTGTGTAACAGTGCAGCAAGATTTCATGCTTTTATATGCAATATTTATAGCAATTTTAATGTTTCTAGTGTCATTCCATGTTAAATGTTACAAGGTATAATAAAAGTGAATCAGAATCTAATCAGGCAATTCATCAAAAGAAATAGCTTTTTTGCACTTTGTCCTTGCTTTTGACTCCAGTAGAAGTTAGGGCACAATTTAAACGCTGATGTATATTATCTTCCACTTAATTTTGGTTGCTTTGAGTATGGCTGTAGCTTAATTAAAAATACTTAATTTCATTAATTTGTGTTTGCAGTATCCTTCTCTTAAATCTCAAACTTAGGGGCTGCATCCGACAATAGTACCATGGTCAAAAGAGGTCAGGAAATGAACTCCTACAATGCTTTTCATTCGGGGTTGGCAGCAGTAGGACAATGCAGTGATTAACAGAGGTTCACAATCAGATGCACTACTCTAAAATAATATTTTATCATGTGATTAATATTTTCATTTCTACTTTCTTTATATTTTCAGATCATCAACCAGAATCCATATTAAGCCTTAGTTCCATCCAAAGCCAATCAACAGATCAATAACAAAGTCAATAGTTTCAGTTGCAACCAATTTTCAGTAGCTGACAACTTTAGAGTTCAAATCTTTGTACAACAGATGGGTTTAATGATCTCTTGTGTTTCTGATAGACTTCATTTTCAAACCTGAGCATTAGCAAGGTATAACTAGAGCAAGTAATTATAATGTGTAGTACATATAATACTCTTAGTGTCATAAGGAATGAATACATATTTATTTTCAGGAGGAAGCTCTCTAAATTCAAATCTCAGTGTTACAAATGTACCCAGACAATCTTATGTTTAGACCGTGCTCCATTACCATTGACATCAAAACATTAATCCTTTCTCAGGCAGCGTGATGGGGCACACAAACCCCACTCTGGTTGAAATAAGCAATACAGTGTCTACACTGACACTTCGTTGACCTAATTACATTGACTGACTCTACACTGCTCAGGGAGGTGGTGTTACTATATAGGCATAGAGAGGCACTTACGTTGGTGTTAGCCAAATTTAAGTGAAGACACTTCCACAGCTAGGTCAATGCAAGGCAGCTTACATTGACCTAATTGTGTAGTGTAGACCAGGCCTCAAAAAGAGGTATGCCCTGGGAGGAAGTCAACCTGCCATAACTCTGCCAAACTATTAGTTTTATTTTTATGATGTATTTATTTTGATTTATTTAAAATATGTCTATCCAAAGTACTTCAATTAGCTGCTTGCAGCATTCTCTCTCTCTCACTGGTTATGTCTAGACTTCAATCACTGTGGGTGAGTTAATCTAACTAGCTTGGGTCTCAGAGCAGTGAAGCCAGCATGAGCTGCATAAACCCTCTCGGAACTGTGCGTAGCCAGCCTGTGCTAGAGCTGCTGTGGCTTCACTGTTCTGGGATCTGAGCTAGCTAGATTCAAGCTAGCCCAGGCACGTTGACTTGAACTGCAGTTACACTAAATGATTGCTGTCTAGACGTACTCTCTGTGAGACTAGTATTACAATGACAGTCATCGGTAGTGGGGGATTTTAGATTTCAGAATCTCAGCTTCTTCAAAATACCATAGCAATATAAAGACGTAATCAAGCAATCTTTACTTCTAGGATCTTAAATTATCCCCAGAATATTTACTATGGGATCTTCAGAGAGAGACTATAACAGGGTTTAAAAAAAAACCTAGATAAATTCATGGAGAATAGGTCCATCAATGGCCATAAGCCAGGAGGGGAAGAGCTGGTGTCCCTAGCCTCTGTTTGCCAAAAGCTGGGAATAGGCAACAGGGGATGGATCACTTGATAATTACCTGTTCTGTTCATTCCCTCTGGGGCACCTGGCATATCGGAAGACAGGATACTGGGCTAGATGGACCTTTGGCCTGACCCAGTATGGCCAGTCTTATGTTCTTATGAGAGACTTGATGTCTGTACATTCCCTCTTTTCTATTGATTTTTCCATGTTCTCCAATATTCTGTGTAACCAGAATTTTTTCCTGGACCTGTCCCTTGGTTTTCCATTTGGCATCTAATCA